CCCTCCACACCCATATTCCCCCCACAATCCACCCACATCCCCAAGCCACCCCCACAAACCCCTCACCCACATAACCAGCCACAAACTCCAAACCCCCATACAAGCCCCATACTCCCACAACTCCTACACCCACCAACAAACTTCCCCAACCCCCCTTCCAAATTGTTTTACACTTGTAGATATATCAGTAAAAATTGCCCAACTGATCTCTCTATATATGGTGGCATTTCATTTTAATAGCTGGAGAACACTTATGGATATTTTAATGAGAGAATTTGGGTTTCTTATCAAAGTATTTGCAATTCATAAACAGGGAACACCAGGATCTCTGCTGGTGAGACAAGTGGCGAGACCCATGTAGAGGAGCCTGTCCAGGACCAGGACTGGGGACCCAGCTGGAGGGCAGACAAGCTGGCTGACCTCTTGGCCATTTGGGGCCAAGAAGACACACTTTGACAGTTCAAAGTGGGCCACCACAAGAAGCATATATTCTGGGCAATAGCTGCCCAGATGGCAGAGCGGGGGCACCCCATCCAAGTCTGGCAGTGGCGCAGCCTTGGGGCCACAGGTCCAAGGGGGTGGGTGCTGCCGCAGGTGGCAGCAAGTCACAGCCAGACAGCAGCCCCCACTGCCAGACTGCTGCAGTGGGTAGAGGGTGCAGGGGCCACTCCAGGTTGAGGCTGCTTCAGCAGTCCAGCTGACACAAGGGGTAGTGTCCCCAGATACCAAGTGGCCAGGCCTTAGAAGCTACTGAGGGCAAGTAGCCCTGAGTTGCTCACCAGGGCAGGTTTTTATACTGCTGGGGCCAGCACCTGTGGCTGCAGATCCAGGAGGAGCTGGGCAGGGGTATTTTGCCCCAAGTGGCACAACTTGACTCACACCAAAGTGTATGTCTGGGCACATGCACTGAGGCAGAAATCCCCGGCTCAAATTTGTGCTGCTCCTATTTGAGCTGCTGCAAGCTCATGTGCCTGTATGTGTGGACGTGCCCACGGACTCCTAGTATGCCTGTTACTGTTGATTGTAGACTGCTTGTAGAGATCTACATAGCTTAACGGGGGGAGCTGATTATAACTCCTGCAAGCCTAATCCACATCACCATGTCATAAGCCATTTACTGAGGCTGACAGCAGGTGATACAGATATTATTCTCACAAAATATAGATTGTTGAGTCTATTATGTTCCAAATAGTTATCTAGAATCAAAGAAATGGAATCTATATTTTTTGCATTGCCTAACAGATATAACCCTGAAGTATTTAAAGGGTTAACACTGTTGCTCAATCAGAAAGAATGTTTGGCAATAAGAGGAAGCCTGGATTAATGATAGAAAAGAATTCTTAGCATTTTATAGCAGTGGGCATTCAAGAGGAGACACGGCTAATGATCAACTAAAAAGGTATTTGCAGCTGTGGTGCTACCTCTCCTCATAAAGCAGCATTAATCAAGCTTGTCCATACAGTTTTGCAGTTCATTCTATTTTTTTCTTCATCTTGAATATAGAAATAGAGCTAATCCCCTAATATACTGTATCAAAGATCATCGTTCTCTGTCACCAAAAAATGATCAAACCTTATTGATTTCTAAGAACTGCATTTTTCTGTGCTATGAAGCAAACCAGGATAGTAACGCATTACCAAAAAAAGATGTTTATCTTAAAGGAAACCTGCTTTTTTTTCTTGCAGCTCTGAAGCCTAGACATCCACAGGGTGTGAAGCACTTATCACCATGAGTTATCTGGGCATATATTTTATTTAAGTTTTGAATTACAGCAAATAGGCATTTCTAAGCCTGGTTTTGGGGTCAGCCATGTTACTGAAAGACATTGGCAGTGTGGAAAGCCAATGAAATTCTATAAACCAGTGTCCTGGTTCACTTAATATTAGTTTAGCAATTAAAAAAACTTTATTGCAGGCAAAAAGTAAATGTGTTGTACATTAGCTGTTTCCATGATTGTTTTAAACAAAGACATTTTAAATTATTTTTAATTAACTGTTTTAAACAATGAAATCCAATTAATCTTACTTTCTCTCTGATATTCTGAATCTCTTAAATAAAACACAGTATAACTTTTTGGAAAATGAGCAACTTCCTAGTTGTTCTTTGTGTAAACAACTCTCAGCCCTCCTAGCATCATGTCATTACATTTTAATTCAACTCTTATTTAATTATGGTTTTGAAGTTTGCTACTGTGACTTGTCCCATCGAAATCAATGGGGTTACTCATTGCACTGAAGTAACTAACAGTATACCTGTATGGTACAATCCAGTGAGTGTAGAGCTATCTGAGCACTCTTAGTAAACTATTTCAGGCACTGGAAGCAATATGGCCATGTTTAATTGTCCAGAGCAGAGCTTGTATTAATTCATATAGCTAGCACCGTGCATTGCGGATATAACTGTTCACAGGATCGGGGCAGAGGTTCGTAATAGAACATTCGGAGGCACTCAATAGCTTAATTCCATTGAATCAGTAGGAATTAGGTACTTAAGTTCTTATGAAGACCTTACTATCCACATCTTTAGCCACCTACATACCTAAATTACAGTAGTTAATTACTACCCTGTAATTAACACTGTACCTGTAGCTGCCTGGCACCAGATCAGAAATAAAGAATAAAGACAAATGGGCATGAGTCTGGTGGAGGGAGTCAAACCTCAAATCCACATGTAGTCTTATTCTGGGAAGATCTTACCTACCTCTGCGACGTACTCAGAGTGCCTGCCTCCTTTTTAAACTTCGGAAATTCTTTCATAGCTTCCTATGCAAATATATCCTCATTGAACTGATTAATCCCTTATACCACTAAATTCGCAAACTTTCTGGATCACTGTCAACACTCAACCTTTCTCACAGACCATGATGTAACCTCATCATGAAACTTGGCTGAAACCACTATGAAAATGCACAGGACCCTGTGTTATCCACAGGTCAATTGTGGACTATTTACAATGGGCTCAGAGACCACTATGGACTATTTGCTTGGGAATTATAGCTATAAACAATAAGATCCTCATATCTCAAATCAGTGACTGTTTCTTATTCTTTCTGTAACATGATGTCACACCTGAAACAGTAGAGAAATGATGATGACAATGAAATCCTTGCTTTTTTCTTTTCTGTTCTGTACATACTATTTTCACATTTGTTTTAATGGCATTGTTTCTATGCAGCAAAATATTTAACAATATGTTGAAGTTTAACAGGCATACAAAATTGATTCCAAATGTATAAATAAATAATATATAGAACAAATCATTTTTAAAGAAAAAAACACTGGTTTAACGTTCTTTTAAATCCACGTTGCTAATGAAATGACAATTCTTTTAAATGCAGTGAGACTGATGCATTAAATACTGGATTTTTACAGTTGATTTATAAACACCTGAAATTCAAGGATTATAAAGCAAGGATGGTTCCTACGTAATGTAATACATGAAATATACTTCAGATGTCTTTCAGAAACTCATGATTTTACTATGTTTAAGCAATTTGTATAAGGGTTTAATCAGTTCACAATGGGTTTTAAAGTAATTAGTGTAGTAGCATGGGTTAGCCCTTTTACTACAACATGGAGAAATAGTGGTATGGTGGAAGCACTGGGCAGTATATAGACAAGTCACATACAGCCTGTTGATTTAAATAATTTATTTCTTTTTCAGATAGTGATTTCCCGTTCAGAACCTACAGCACCATATGTGAGTTTTCGCCTAGACTCCCACCCAGTCTCTCCACAAGTTATTATTGAACATTCATTAGTAGCAGATGGTTCTACCCTGGTAGTAACTGGAAGGAAGGTAAGTAGTTCCTAACCTAAGCACTCGTGCTATGTAAACCTGCATGCATAACAACAGCCTTACAAAAGTAGTTAGTCAGAACGATATTTTAAATTTTCATGCTTTACATCCTTTGCAGCCTGTCTAATCATTTGGGTATTTTATGTTTCCTCAAGTGTATTTTTTTAATATTTAAAAAAAAAGCAAATGAATATTAAAACAGTAAAATAATGTGAGAATCATGATACAAACTGACAAAAGCCAGGAAATTTGCAAATTTAAAGTTGACACCCTGTCCTTAATTCAAGCTCTTGTAAAGAAAAACACACAATGGCTTAAAGAAAGAATGGTGTTTAGAACTTCCTGGCTTTTTTTGACTTGTATCGGAATATATTTAAATGGGCTGTGTATAGGTATGTGCATGTGAGCGTGTGTTTGTGCATGAATGCATTTGCACGTGTGTGTGTGTTAGTGTCTGTTTAAAATTGGGTCCACAGTTAATACTAAGGTTACATTTATAAATAGTTCATAAGCGGTTAATAGATTATCTATAGATGCTATAATATTTTACTCTTGTGAGTAGTATGTGTTATTGATGGTTCTAAGCACAAAGAAAGTTTTTAGATGATCATTAGCTACAGTTATAAATAGTCCCTTAACCTTTTGAATTGTATTACAGTCCATAAAAATGTAATAAAGTGCTAATTAAAACTTCTAATCATTTACCGATTTTTTTTAAGAACTAGTTATAAATGTAACCTTAAAATAAAATACATCCAAAAAGAAGTTTAAATGTATAATGTAACAACTATGCATTTATGACAGGTGTAAACAGCTAGCATTTATGGAGCATTTCTGCTTAACGTGTGTTACAGATTTAAGTCTGACATTCTTACATGTGAAGTAAGAATTGCCTGCGTTTTACCGTTGAGTAAACTGAGGGTCATTGAAGTTCAATGACTTTTCCAGTAAGTTAGGCCTGAATCCAATAAAGCCTTAGGTGACTAGAAGTCAGGCACTGCAATGCCTAACTGTAACTTATCTGGCCCTAGAGGCAGGCTTCCTATAGCAGTGTTTACCAACCAGTGTGCTGCGGCACAAAAGTGTGCCATCAGAAATGAACAGGTGTGCCGCAGAATTTTGTCATAGCAATGAGCTACAATAGGTATGAGGTGGAGGAATGGTTTAACAGGTGTGCTGTGGAAAATTTTTATTAATGTAAGTGTGCCTTGGGCTGAAAAAGGTTGGGAAACACTGCCCTATAGAGTATGTGGAAAGAGTTAAGTACTTCAGACAAAAATACATGAATCCAGATGCTGAGTGGAGAAACACCAAGACTTAGCCAGTAGAAAACACTAAGCACTGGAATGAGTGTAAACTTGCATTTCCTCTTCAGAGAAACACCCGAGTCTGGGCTGCAGTCAGGCATTTCCATCCACTGGGGATCCAGAGTCTTCCTCTGAGCTACCATTTTTCTTTCAAACAACAGAGCAGGAGTCATTATTTTCTTTTCAAATATTGAGTGGGCATTGGAGTGGCCACCCATCTTTTACATAACAGCCTGGTGCTTACAATACTTTTGCAGGAGGTAAGAGATCTGGAGGGAATTCAAAGCATCCTCTCAAAAAGCTACCCAAAGGCTATTGCCGAGGTTAGAGGAGGCAGTCTCCACTGTTTTGGTTGAAACTGTGTCACTGTGCAAAAAAGAATGCAAGATTTAGGAGGCCAGGAAATGAGCAAGCAAAGTGGGTCATGAACCTGCAGCCCAGTGGTCAAGACACTTAACTTGGAATGGGGAGTCATAAGTTCTGGTCTGTGCTTCCATCACTTTTTCTGTATTTTATGTTAAACAGCTTTGGAGCAAAAACCCATAATAATCCTGGGAATCAGGACTGGAATCCAGGACTCCCCTGTCTTAACTGGAGTTTTGGTTTCTCTAATTTTGCTGTCCTTGTGGCCTTATGAATTGTGACTTGTGAGTTTTAGGCAACTCTAAAGCTAGGTAGCCACAGAGGAGGTGTTCTTTAGAGCACAATTTTGGATAAATATGTGCATAACATCTGCCAAAATCATATTGTATATGCCTAAATCTTTTTTGTTTTAATATGGCGCTTCATACAGAGTTTAGAGTAGAAAACAAGTGTTTTGCTGAAGTTCTGTCCAGGTCAATCAGCCCAGAAGGTAGGGCAGGATGGCAGGCGTGGACACACAATTTGGAACCCTTTCAGACGGAAAATATTTCAAAAGGGCAGCGGCTGACAGGTTCTGATTATTATGTGCTTCATCCAGAGTTAAATTTGGAGCGGTTCTATTTCTGAATCGTTCTCAGCTCGTTCATACACAGTAATTAGAACACTGCCCTTTTGAAAGGTTCCCATTTTGAAAGGGTTGCAAATGTATGCATGTCCACATTAGAAACTAACTGGTTCAGAGAGGCATGGTCTTTTGTAGCAACAACCTTCTTTGCCAATTCCAATCCCGTAAATAACAGTGTTTGGAGTGATATTATCAGCATGCCTCTGACGTTTTTTCCTAGTGAGTTTAGGAATGTGCCAGTTAAATTACTTATCAGATCTCCTAATTACTAAACTAAGCTACATTAGGACAGTAATATGCCCAGTAATATCACAATATTTTGCATACATATGGAGATCTCTTTGCAACATATTTATAAAAATCTATGTATCATTTTCTTATCAATAGATAACCAAGATTCCACTCAATGGACCAGGCTGTGATCACTTTAAATCCTGCAGCCAGTGTCTCTCTGCACCTACTTTCATGCAATGTGGATGGTGCAGTGATCAGTGTGTGAGGCCCCAGGAGTGTGTGAAAGGGGTGTGGACCCAGGAGACATGTTTGCCTAGAGTTTATGAGGTAACTATCTGTTTCTCAAGTACATATCTGAAATAAGAATGCTAGCACTATTTCAAATGTTACTAACCATTAGAATATACCTCAGCCCTTGTGAAGTCTCTAAGTTCTGGAAATCTGAAGATACTAATTTAGTGGCCTGCCTCCCTCCTGCTACAAATCCCCCCCAGCTTTTCAAGCTGAGAAGTTGGAAAGCCAGCATGTAAGAAAAAGGTCTCATTGCTATTGTTTACTTGCTGCTGCTGTTTTATAGTTATATTGTGATATAACAGTACTAGAATGGGTGACAATGTATTGTTTGGAGCTATATGAGGCTAACCTGGAGCTCACAGGCTTATGAGCAAAAATGACACATAAGACAGTTGAGGGAGAGGAACACAACCAACTAGAAAAGTCTACTTTCCTTCATTCTAATAAATAAAGCATTCACTATCCCCTTCTTCCCCTCAGGGGACTTCTGAAGCCCCCTCTTCATTTTATAGGTATCATGCAATTAACTGGTTAATTGCACAGTTACCTTGAGACCAGCTACATGTGCAAAGTAGCTATTGTGCCATAAAAACCTCCAACCAGCTATAAAATTAGATTTCAGAAATGCGTACTGGCTTCATAGCTGGTTGCTATTGAGCTTTAACTTGCATGTGTAGCAGGGTCTCCCCTGTGGCTGGGAGTCCTGTCAGGTGGGGGACTCCCAGCCACAGCAGGGCATCATGCCCAGCTGGGGCTAGGAGTCCGGCAACTAAGGAGACTCTCAGCACCAACAGCCAAATCTGGGTCCCAGCAACACAGGGACCCAGAGTCCTGCAGCTGCAGATGCTGGGTACCAGAACCCAGCTGGATCCTGGCAGCTGGGCAGCACAGCTGCCCCAAGGGTGTGTGAAACCCCGGGGGCTTGGAGCTCCTCAGCTGAGGGGGGCTTCCAAAGTTTGCTTCTTGCTGGTATGGAGGGAGTCCAGCAATAAGGCGCAATGGGATCTCATGTGCAATCCTACAATCATGACTCCTGCCAGGCATGTGTGGCATGGCAGGTGGCACGATTATGTGGATCACACATTAGAGCCCATTGCACTTTACCTGCACATGTAGAGGGGCCCTGCAATAACCCTGGATCTTCAAAAAACAGAAGGTGGAGTTGGACAAGTTTCAGCTAATCTGCTTGTAGTTAAAAAAATATATATCACCGTCACCTGGTGAGGGGGAGGGAAATAACATCTCAAAGCTTCCCTGGGGGGAAACGGGGAGGATGCAGGTTTCTGCCCACATCAGCTGAAGCTACCTCTCTCTTGTGATTATTTCATGGTTTGACTCCCTCTTCCCTTCCCTCCCGTATCCCCAGTCATTGCTGGTTTGTGGCACTGATAGGAAAGAAAAGGATCAGCTTTGGTTTGACGAGGTGGCCTCTTTCTCTTAACTAAGTTCTCTGTAATAGAGCTGTCAGCCTAGACAGTATCTTTGGGTGCATTTTTACGTGTCTCCTGTACCTTGATTACTTCCTGAGCATCATTCCCATAGGGCTGATTACCTCATTCATGGTGTTTGGGCAGGACAGCGTCTATATATCTGCCCCTGCAAAAAATGACAGTTGAAGGCTGCTCTCAGCTGTAGAAGGCCCATAAATGATAAAAAGTGTGGAAGAGGAAAATTACACAGATAAGCAATAAGCCCACTAGCTCATTGCTGTTTTCATTTAGCTATGGCTAATGCAAGATTTGTACTGGCTGACTGTGCATTTAACCAAATCATTTTGTTTTAAGTGTGACATAATTATGAAGGTCTAGTTTTATGGAACAGTTAATGTACTAGTAAATGGATGTAGGGGAGAACAATTGTAGTACTTATTTGTAGCACTTATATCCTTTTTCTTACAGCTATCTAGATTCTACTATGTGGTATTAAAATTCAGATGTCCACAAAGGAATAAGAACTTATAAATAGGGATGAAACTTTGAAAGGCTCAGCTTGGAGGGAGAGAGAGACGTTCTCAATTAGATAATATTTTCCTTAAACCAGGTAGATGGTTTCATTTGCTGCAACCCTGCAAACAATATCCAAGCAAAACTGCTGAAATCTGAATTTGGAGTTGTGTTAATAACTTGTAAAAACCTTTCAGAAGGCTTTTTTTTTCTTATTTATATTTTTACTAGAGTTGCAGATACCAAAATTATTGACGTTGATTTACCACATTCACATTGCCTTGTTTAGGCATTGACACCTGTGCAAAATAGGTATAAGATTTTACTAAATCAGAATGTGACTGTTTCACAGTCACTTTCTGAATACATGACCAAGTGGTCCCTCCTGGCTTTAAAATCTATATGAAGCAATGGAAAATGAGGCCTTATATGCTTTTTTTAAAAAATGTGATGTTTTTATAAGGCCAAACTGTTCAAAGCTATACTGCGCAGCTTGCTTTGTTCTCCCCAGTACTCAGATGTAAGCAGCAAATATTAAAGTCCTTCACATACAGTAACAGCAATAAAAATTATGTATAATTCCATGCATTGCAGAAGGTTTTTAAAGCTCCATATTGCATAGGTCCTGATTTTCCGTGTGCTGAGCAATGTGCTGAGCTCTCTCTGATTGCAATCAGAATTGTGTGTGCACCGCAGTTTTTAAAGCCACTCCTTTAGAGCACAGCTCTTCAGTCCTTACATTAAGAAGTGCTTACTCATGAGAGGAATTCTTCAGAAGTCAGTAGAACTACTCTGCTGAGGAAGTATTTCTCAGTGTGAGGGAGGACTGCAGGAGTGGACCCTTAGAAATTTAAGGAGAATAAAAAGCATCAGGCCCCTCAAAATTTTTCTTATTTATAAGTTAGTGCTTTGTGGCCAGATAGGTATATATTATTTTTAAAAACTGTGATATTCATGGATCTGTGGCAACACTGGAATTTAAACTGAATCTCTTCACGTTTTGAATTACAGCATGCAAAAGTTTGTGAGACTTGTTTCTAGATGGTTGCAAGGAAAATAATGCGGCTGAGAACTTAAATCCCTTCTGGTTGCTAGCTGTTAAGGCAGATTTCATGCTCTACTAGACCATGACATTTAGCATGATTACTGAAAAATATATAAAACAGATTATTCATCATTTTCTGATATATCTTTAAACCTGTGTGTATAAAATACAAGAGACAAGCATGTTTTGTTCCTAACAAATGGAGTAAAACCTGTTTTGCACAAAATCTGAAATTCAGTCCTAAAATCCCTCAAAATATATGAAAGATTTCAGAGGGACTGGTTGTTTAAAATGTGTTATATGATAAATTTAACCTGTAGTAGATGCAAGAAATGCTGATCCAAAGCCCATTGAAGTCAGGGAGCTTTGGAGCTCCCTTTTTGTTGACTTCAGGGAGCTTTGGAGCAGGCCCTGAAGCAAAATTTTCCCAGCATATTTGTAGTGCATTATTCAGTGAAAAAAAATGACCGAGGAATTTTCTCCATGTGGAGAAAGGTAAAGGAGTCCAACATTATTCTGGAGTGTGGTTGATGTTCCAGTTGTTTCTTTTGCTTTAAATATTTCACCCCTGTCACTAAAGCTTTGGGTCACAGTGACCATTTTCCCAGCTGGAGAAGTCTCTCCAGGACTCTTGCACTTAACGCTGCTTCTTTCTAGATATTTCTCTGTATATTAAAAACAGAAGGAATCTCTCCACCGTGTGACACAGAAACATACGATACTTCCAGCATTTTAGAACAAAATTGGTAGGACAAACAAGTCCAATTCTCATAGACAAAGTTTCTTTTAATTCTCAACTCTGCCAGTTTGGCACAGTTTCCCTATTGAAATACTTTGCAATTATTGCTTATGCCAGCAAAGAAGTGCACTTTTGTCAGCCTGAACAGACAGAACTAAAGTAAAGCTGGGAGACTTGGATGGGTCTCATCAGATATAACTTGGTAATGGAACAAATTGCAGTAGTGCTTCTGTGGAATTCAGGTCACTTTAAAAGGTGAACTGCAAAGGAGAAAATACAGACTTTTATCATTTTTTGTTTCTTTAGTATATATGAAGAAAGCCTGATATTTTTATTTTTTTTTTGCTGTCATTGTTTTTAAAATGGTTTTGAGGTGCCTCCTCTTAGGAATGTTGGGCTTTTGTTCCCTGTTTAAATTAGAGGAGTTACTGGAGATTTCAAAAGTATATTGTGAGTTTTCTTGTCCCTTCATTAAAGGAATAAGGCTGCTGAATCTTAATAAACAGATATTTTCTTCCAATAATTAATGGGGCATTTAACTCAAATATGGTGTGCTTAGCAGCAGCAAATAAAATAGAAAAGAAAAGAGAGACTAAATTTTAAGCCCTTTGAATAAATATCACTTTATCACAGTAGCATATCTAGGAGCTGAGAGGGGCATCAACCTCTGGTGTCGCCTAACAGCACATACAGACGTTCGCTCTCCCAGGCCATAGGAGCTGGGTGCAGGGACACAGCAAGAGAAGGCAAGCAGGAGTAGACATGCGCTCTCGGGTCATAGGAGCCAGGTACAGGGGCATGTCAGGAGCAGCAGGGGTCTTTGAATTCTCAAGGCAGGTGAGGCCCTCATATGCCTGGGCAGCATGGGGCTGCTCCAGCTCAGCTTCTAGGGCCAGGGGATGCAGGGCTGTTCCTTCTGTGTCCCAGCATCCAACTCCTGCAGCTAGGCAGTGTGGGCTTCTCTATGGCTGAAGGGACACAGAGCTGCTGTAGTTGTGACAAAGGAGCACTTGCCCCCACCTCATCCCTTCTTTCCCCCTAAAGCTTTTTCCAGGGCAGTAAATTTACACCTCTGCTTCATTACTCATTTAACGTCTAAACAAAAGCCCAGGAAAGGCAATGGAAGACAAAGACCTTCTGAGGACAACAGAAGGCCATCCATCAAGGCTGCTGAAGTAATCTCTTCTTATTCCTACTAGGTTTCCAGGCATTCCATAGTGGCTTTTAAGAAACTAAATTAGAGAAGTCAGAGATTTCATATTCTTCAGAAGTGCTTGTTTTCCTGTTTGATTGTTGTTAATACCTG